TTATGAGAAGAGTCATGTGAAAGGGAAGTTAAACAGACGACAAGTTCAAATAAACCAAGTGTGTTTGAAGTCTGAGTGGCCATATATCAGCTCTGTCAATGCTGAAATATTTTCTCTGACCACAGCTCAGTGACAAGTGAGTGATGTTTCAATCGCAGCGCTCTATTTAAAGGTCCGAGCTCAGCTTTTGAAGGACGTGATACTAAACTGGTACAAAGTATAGCAGTGAGGTTAGCAGGAATGTGTGTGTGTGTGTGTGTGTGTGTAGCAACACACTTTAAGGACTCCTCACAGAAAGTGTCACAGCAAAATCCATCATCACTGCATCTAAATATTTGGTTCTGGAGGCTTGGCAATGTAGCGATGGTTGGCAAACTGCTGTAGCTGGTGAACTAAAGTGGGATTTATACTTGTGCACCAGCTCTATGCAGAACCTTCGCTGTTGTGAGCATTTACACTTGTGCAGTGGTGTGTCTGTGTCACTCTGCAGTTACACCTCCAAGACACTAGTCAGCGGTGGGGTATCTGAAGCGCTGTTGAGTTTAGCTGATTCAAAACACACATTAAACACACCAGAGAGGAGGACCAGTCTGTCCTCAAGATTAAAGTGTCTAAAGCCCGATTTATACTTGTGCGTCAGCTCTATGCAGACCCTATGTTGTGGCCTACGCACATGGCCTACGCTGTTGTGAGCATTTATGTGTCTGTGTCACTCTGCAGTTGCACCTCCAAAATATTAAATGGCCGTGGGGTTTCTGTGAAGTCCTGTAAAGTTTAGTTGATTCAAAACACACATTAAACACACATTAAACACGGCTCAATAGAGACGATTTCAAACACAAGTACACAAATCAGCTTCACTATAACTCGCAGCATTCACAGACAAACACTTGTCTTTATCTGGACACATTTTCCCCACAAATACAACATGCTAACGTTATTAGCACAAGCCTATGGCATTTTACGGACTTTTCCTCTACTCATATGAAGCCAGGGACAACAGCAACATTTAACAAACTGTCTTATACTAAACACGTTTTCCAAACAAATATAACATGCCAACGTTGTTAGCACAAGCCTATGGCGTTTTACATTGTATAAATTAGCCCAGCAGCTAACAGACTTTTCCTGTACTCACATAAATCCAGAGACAACAGCAACATTTAACAAAGGTAACGTTACAAAATTTGGCTCCATTACAACTCACAAGGTTCACTGACAAAACAGCAAAAATAGACAGAAAGTCTGTGTCGTTAAGACTACGGCGTAGAGTACAGTGTTAATTTGATGGAGAAGTATAAATCCTGCATAACTCATAGACGTGGTTGAGTTTAGAAATAAAGAACAGGGTTCGGCTTCATAATCTAATGTGACATGAACGCTGCTCTCCCAGATGAGAGTCGGTGTTTGTTGGACCCATCCACCACTCCTCCTGGATGGGGATGACTTTTTTCGTTGGTGTCTGATGACGGACATTACTGCCCAAGACCCGATTTTGACGACTTCGGAGTGAGTTAGGGTTGTGTCAGCAGTAGGAGGGCAGCTCACAACCAGCTGGGGGTTGACATCGACCGTCAATTATACTATGAATAGAACCACATGCGTATCAGCGTGACTGCAGACATTCAGTGCAGAAAGTATGTCCGAGCCTTAACATGCTAGCCTGCTAGATCAGCATTTGTCAGTGGAGTTAACTTCATTTATTTAGCAACTATTGAAATTATCCAGTATCTCACAAGAAAAAAAAGCAAAGATAGAGAAACTTTGATGAAATGAACTTTGATTTTTCTTCTGTCTTTCACCAAGCATCTCACGACCCCTCAGATTTNTGAGAGTCGGCCCAGCCAGACCTTTCTTTTCTTAAGAAAGGTCTGGTGAGCGAGACTAATGAAAACATAACTCACTGATGCCTGTTCTATATTTACATTATAGGGTTATCATCAATGAATATGCAAACACAGCCTTGAAGATTTAATCAGAAATGCCAAGATCAGTCAGTGTCTGAGGGTTTGTGTACTTTTAATTTGTGGATCTCGCATTATGTAAGAGGCAGGTAATTGTATTAGTGTGTTCCTTTCTTGACATTCATTAAGTTAAGATAGACGGTCAAACAGGTTCCAGTCGGATCACAGATGACACAAGGGAGTGGTTTCATTTCTTTACTCCTTTAAGATGAAGTGAATGTGATTTAAGGAAACAGCAGAGCGGTTGGTCAGCGACAGCGTCTGGTGTCTGGTAGGAATTCATTCATACCTTGTGTTGCTTTAAATAGTGTGAATGTATGTTCTGGATATGTTTGTTAGCCGGCTGCCGACTGCAGACTCTCAGTCCCTCTGCTGTGACTCACACACTTTGATTGTGACTATTTACAGCCTGCCGTTCAGCTGAGCTTTTTAAAGAAGTGAGGAAGGAAAGAGAGTTTCAGCTGGTTCTGACTGACGAATTGTCAAGCTTATTTTCGAAGGACTGAACCAGCTCTTTAAGGTCTTGTGATCTAAGGCTGCAACTACTGATTATTTTCATTGTTGAGTTATCTGACAGCTGTTTTCTTGATTAATCAACCAATCATTGGCCTCTAAGGGTGGTTTCATATCAGGTAGGATTGATTAGTACCATACCTGAGTATGATTGCCCCCTCTCCACTTAACCGTCACTCACCTTTCACATTAGTAATGTTGTTCCATACCTGAATTGTGTCATCATCTTCGTGACATTTTTGTTGTTGTACAGTGTAGAATAGGACACTGCAGATGGACACTGCTGCCCCGGCGGGGACCACTATAGCAGTGAGGAAAAGTTCTGCTCCTGGCTGAAGGAGCCACTGCTGTCAAGTGCAGAGCTCTTCACCTCATGCCAGAGCCTCTAACTGCCGGTCAAATACTACAAGTCCACAGGGGTATTTTTTTAGACACGAGGAGTTGCAGCACTTACCAGCATTGGACGATGGATGTGCCACAAGGCATGAGGGCTGTCTGCCACTGGATTTCAACCAAACAAACATGGTGGCTTGTTAGCCAGCCGTCTTTTACGTTACGAAAATAGTTCAACAAAGTGTGTTTCTAAACATTTGAGGGCAGAGCCATGCAGTTGCCAAATCTGTCTTCATTTTTAGATCAGTACGGTTAGTTTAAAAGTTTTTTAGGAGTTTCCAGAGGTGGCGAGTTGCACCAGACGCCCCTGATTTGTATGAAGTAGCCTTATTTCGACTTCATGGAAATGCAGAGTGGATGCCCTGTTTCTGGAAATGCAACAGGGCACCACCAGAATGCATTGCGCTGCTGCTTACATAGACTCTGACTGGGAATCTTGGAAATGACACACCTGTGGACATGACCTGGTGGTGGCAATGAAGCCGGATCTGGGCTGTACTGCCATCTGATATAGCGGAATCAGTGTTAAATTGATACTGTGTCATACTTACGCCTCTTCATCCCCTATAGGACATAAGGCTTCAGTGAACTCTTTCCATTGCATTCGATCACTGGCAGCATGTTGCGCCTCTCCCCATGACACGTTCATCTTTTACAACTCCACTGTCACAATTCTGCACCAGGTGGTTTTGGTCCTTTTGGATTTTCTTTTGCCTGGTGGTGTCCATCTTTAGGCCAAAACACACCGCCAAGTGCCGCCTCCAACACGCACAAAAAGCGTTGCGCTGCGGGGCGTCAACCGGATTTCTATTGCACACTCCAGTCAACTAGGCTGGGAAGTACAAAATAGCGCTTTTTCATGGGCAACGACACTGGAAAAATAGGACAATAGCGTAAAGTGCAGCGGCGCTGCCGATGTGGGTTTGTAAATAGAAAATAATGGGGGCAGCTGTTTTGACACGCATCGTACGCTGCTGGTGTGTTTTGGCCTTTAAGATGACTCTCTTGATCTGGCCCTGTTCCATTCTTAGCACATGACCTTGCCATCTCAGACATCTGTGTGTGATTTCCTTGGTGATGCTCCGGCTACCTGTTTTCTTGCACAGTTGAAGGTTGGAGATTTTGTTTGGCCAGAAGATCTTGGATATTCGTCTGATGCTTCCACTCTCATTATGTCTGTTTTTACCATTCAACAACTCTTGTGCATAGATACTGTTTCATAATCGCCTAAAAACACCTTGTAGTCATGTTAAACAGCAGTCCACTTAGGTGTTTTGATACAGTTGGTGGATCAGCGTTCTGTGCCCTGGCACACTAATGCAGTGTTTACACTAATCAAATAAACTGGACTTGGGGATCAAGTGTCCTCGGATACCGGGTGCCTGATGCAAAAACCCCAACAAACTGACATCATCAAATGTCTTGTTTTGTCCAACTAATAATCCCAAACCCACAATTTTTTTAATTTACTACAACGTAAGACTTATAAAAGTGGCTAATTCTCACATTTGAGAACTTGGAATCATCAAAAGTTTGGCGTTTTTTTGCTTAAATGATTATCAAAATAGTTGTAGATTAACTTTCTTTCAATTGATTGATTGATTTTTCTACCACCGCCACCAACAGGTTTCCCTTATATCAGAATAAACTCTGTGAAATGATATATGTCAGTATTTTAAAGAGGGACCATATTGCCAAAGTTCAGCCTAAACTTTTATATATCTTATTTAGTTTAAAATAAAATAAATCTATTCAAGCAGCTCTTTAGAAATGAAATAACATAAAAAATGGAGGAGCATTAATTCCAGATTATCCATTTACAGTCTGAACATGTGAATATTTCACTTTAAGAGAATCTTTTCTTGAATAAACCAGACTAAAAATACAGAAAGCCATTTCCTCAAGGCGAAAGCTGCGGTTGAGAGCAGCTCAACAGAGTACGTCTTTTCTGTTTCAGCGGCAAGGAAGTGAAACACTGGGTGTGTGACACTTAAACACCCACACGCATTCATACTCGAGGGGAAAACGTCACATTTACATGAGATTTTGATTCCATTAGTTTCTTTTCTAACCACTAAAAGTCCCCCATCTCTCTTAACTCAATCTGTTTTGTTTTGTTTTTTTTTGCAGGATAAGCATCACAACAGAAGGAATCTCTGCCAGGATACATCTGATTGTGCAGCTACACACATTTGCCAACCACTTCCCCCTTTTTCCTGTGGAAATTGTAGAGGACTCTCTGAAATGTCAGAATGGATCACTTTCAAAAACCTGAAACCTGTAAAATCTGGACCAGCAGCGATTTAATCATCATGGTTTGACTTGTACTTTTGGAACTGTCTGATCCTGATTCAAAGGCTGTCAGTCATGTTGGAGCCCGGATCTGTGGATGAGGGAGTATTATGTGGTTCACCATCAGTCTGCGAGTTTGTTTACCTGCCATTTTTGTGCAGAGAAACATATGAGTTGAACGTATTTTATGTGGCAACTGGCTTCTTCTCTGGACTTCTTGCTCTGCCTGCTGGCTGTGGCGGGGAATGGACAGTACCATTACGCTGTCCACATTCCTAATACCCTGGGAAATGTCTACTTACTGAATGGACTTTTGTGTTAAATTTGAGGCAAAATGGAGGAACTCAGGACATCTGCTCACTGGAGCCTGTACAAAGACCAAAGGAATTTCCTCTGCTGAAAGTCTGACCCCAATGGGATAAGAACTAGCAACTCTGAACTGAACAAGACAGTTAGACTGAACAGGTAATTACTGAGAAAAAAAATTGGAATACCTTTCTCCCAGAATGCATTGCCCTATGAGGAAGAAACGCCCCACACGTGACTCTGATTTCTCGGCTATCGCAGTCCCCTCTATGCACGGGTCTGGATATCTTGACTACACAGTTGAGACGCATGCTTCCAAATCCCTCGAGGTCATGGAGGAGTTCAGGCGGCAGGAGATGTTGTGCGATCTCGTGCTGCACATCACATACAAGGAGAGGACAGTGGACTTCAAGGTGAGGCACTTTTTGAAATAAACGATCTGTTCTGCGCAATTTTGTGGAATTTTTGTTTCAAAATTTGTTTAGAAGTAAAAGTTTATAAGCTTATAAGGTACAAGCAGAGTATGGAAGCCCTGAAACGGACTAAATGTAGTAAAATTAAAGTACAAGCTCAGAAGATCTGAACCAAAAATACAATTAAAGACAAAGTTTAATAGCATTAGTGGCGGTCCTAGCACATTTGGTGCCCTAGGCAGGCCTCTCCCACCATGTTGTTTGCTGCAGCTCAGCAGTCAAAGTACTGCGTGTTTATTACCAAAATATAAATAAACCAAAAATTAATTAAGTTAAAAAATAATAATAATGATAATTAAAATTAATTAGTTCAGAAGTATAAACAATAATAAAATGTACAAATTAACTTTCTAATTGAACAAGGGATGCACCGATTTACTGATACCAACATTTAAAATAACAATTGTACCATTAGCCAGTACTAATGTTTTTAAATTGGTGTTTGTTAAAATTAAAATAATATGTGCATTATGCTACAGTGTTTAACACTGGTACTTAAGATATTAAAATATTAAAAAATAACTGTATATCATCACTGTGCTGAGGTTGTAAATGTGAAATTTAACTATGATAAATACATCAATAGAGTAAATGTTAACACAAGAAATATGTACAGTTATGTGCATGAGAAGTCATATACTGAAAAATATTGCACATTTGAATAATTGCATCCAGTAGATAATTATGAATTATGAATGCAGAAATGAAGTCCAGATGCCAGTCTACTGACCCAGAGCGGCTGACACCCTGAGGGAGGAGTTATACAGGCAGGGATGACTTCCTGTGGCGCTCTGTGGTGCATCTTGGGGGAATGAGTCTGTCACTGAATGTGCTCCTGTGTCTGCCCAGCACTTCGTGGAGTGGGTGGGAGACATTGTCCAAGATGACACGTATCTTAGACAGCATCCCACTCTATGACACTGCCACCAGAGAGTCCAGCTCCGACCCCACGATGTTACTGGCCTTGCCAATCGGTTTCTTGAGTCTGTTGGCGCCTGGTACCCTCAACCCGCTGCCCCAGCACACAACAGCAAACAGGACAGCACTGGCCCCCTCAGACTCAACAACCTTCCTCAGCACTGGTTATCATTCAGCCACTGGCCAAGTATAGGGTGGTGCATGGACCTTGGTTCCCCTGACAAAAAGCCAGTGGTATTTGGATTATTGCGAAAATAAGATCTATGGCAAATAAAAAAAAAAGTGGGGAGTGGGGAATTTTATCGACACGTTTTATGTAGTAAAACAAAACGTGAAAATCCCTTAAGCTTGTGTAAACCAGACCCCACTGACTTCAACACGAGGGAACAGGGAGTGCTAACATGCTAACTAATCTCTGCTTTTTACGACTTGTTCCTGCAACACTTTGTTTCCGTTTCATTCAATACATGTTTTTTTTAGGTGCACAAGGTGGTGCTGGCCTCCTGTAGCCCCTACTTCAGAGCCATGTTCACCAGCAGCTTCAAAGAGTGTCGCGCCTCGGAGGTCACCCTGCGCGACGTCTGCCCCGAGGTGGTGGGAAGACTTATTGACTTTGCCTACACCTCCCGCATCACAGTGGGAGAGAAGTGTGTGCTGCACGTTCTTTTGGCTGCCATGAGGTAAGCACACAGACAAGACCTCTTTACCCTGACTTTTTTTTTATCTTTCAGGATTCACCAGTTAAATGTTCTTCTTTTTCTTCTTCTTTGTTTTATACAAGGTATCAGATGGAGGATGTGGCCAAAGCGTGCTGCGACTTCCTCACTAAGCACCTGGAGCCTGCCAATGTCATCGGCATCGCCCGCTTTGCTGAGGAGATCGGCTGCACGGAGCTGCACCAGCGGAGTCGAGAGTACATCAACACACACTTCAGTGAGGTGAGGTGCAAATACAGAAGGGGCAAACACAAGTTTTCCTTTGAAATACAGTCACATCAGGTATTTATGAAGGTTACTTTATTTTCATTTGTGCTTTACTTTACGTGACACAACCACATGACACATGCACACACTCCTGCCACGTTGTTCTCACATGGCAAAAAGAAGGAAGCCACTGAAAATGTTGTAGTGATGTCCAACCCAGTCAGTGACTCTGTACCACGCAGGAAGACGCATGTGCACGACATCGCCCTGAGAGAGCTCCAGGACAACTCCATTGGACACATGCTCGTGGTCATCTTGGTGATTCCAGGCGATGTTTAAAAGAACTCTTTGGTTGTTCTTGTGCAATGCTGCGCCCATGTGGTAGCCTTTCCGTCCATCCATGGTATTAAACCTGAAGAAGTAGACGCCACTGACGGGGGCTGTGAAGAAACCTGCAGTGGAGCACAAACAAAGAGCTTCATGAAAACAACATATCTAAACCTACGTTAAATAGTAAACACTCACACAAACACATACCTGTGTAGACGTTGTAAGCATTGCCGATGTTAGTGATGACTTGCGGGTATATCAGTGTAGTTTCAGCATTGAAGGTTCCCACTGTTCCAGTCAAAGCCACAGAGAAGGCCACTTTGGGTCCACCTGTGAAAACAGAGCATGAAACGTACATGTGGCGCCCGTTCTTTATTTATCATCTGTTCAAGTTGGCTCACACCAGGTGATAGATATGCTCCTGTAGCTGACAGCTGGATTTGACAGTGGCACCCTCGGAATTTTTCACAGGGGTGGCCAGATGGGGCGACTGAAAATCTTTGGGTGGCTTACCAAAACCAAAAGTGACAACTGAATTGCATGAATTCTTTGATGCTGTGTCAATATGAGAGTTAAGAAAATGCACACTGATATACTTTGTTTTCTTATTTTACATTTAACATCACTAGTAATCTGATGTCTGTGTGTGTAATCTGTGTGCGGTCCACATCCTCCTCCTCTTCATCATCATGCACCTGAATATTACTATCTGTCCTGTTGAGCGTGAGCTGTCAGAGTTATGAAATGATTCTGTGATCCCCGTTCCTCTGTCTTGTCACGGCTGTGTCCCGCCGCCATATTTTCTTCACTGATTCTTGATCAAACGTCACTAAAGGCTCTGATGGATGCAAAAAACGCAGAAAAATCGAACCTGTTCCAAAAATTTTAATGACGGACGAAAGTTTCAGACTCAGTGTGTAAACACGATTGACACAATGTGGGGTCGTATATATTTTTAGATGTGTAACAATTTCGGACGAAAAAAATGGACTCAGTGTGCAGAGGCTGAAGGGACAGAATATTTACTGGGAACAAGCCTTTTCAAGTTAAGGCGAGACTCGTAGGTACCCATAAAACACGTTTTCATTCAGATATCTTGACGTGAGAGTTCAAGGGACCCCTTAGAAAATGGCCATGCCAGTTGTTTGGAGCGTCATTCAACCCCCTTCCCAACAAGCTATGCCACCATGGTTGGTACCAATGGATGCCTTAGGTTGTCTAGTTTCACAAGTTACCAGTATCTTCATGCTGGATTAAAAAGTCAGTGCACCACAACTTCTTAAAGACAGTAACATCGGCCTCTAATTATTTTTGACAGGGGGCCAGTGGAGCAACTGTATCAGGGAGGCCCTGCCCGCCCACCACCCTTGGGGGCACAACTGATGGCTTGGTGTGAATTAAATAAAAGAGAATCAGATGAATGTCCATGAGATTATAATTTCCTATTCCTTCCATTGTTACCTGCCATCTTTTTTTCCATCTCCTCTGCCCGCTCTTTGAAGTGACGTAACTCCATCTTGGTCGCAATCAGCTCTGCTCGTAGATCTTCAGCTGAGTTCTCCTGAGCTTGTACTTTGTTTTCACTCGCTGCCAGTCTGCTCTCCATCAACCTCAGCTCCTCCACCGTGGCTCTCAGTGCCCCCAGCTCAGCTCTGATGTCAGACTCAGAGGCCGTCTCTGCCCGAACCAAAGCCCCTGACAGGCACAGGGTCAGCAGCAACACTGGAGCACGCTTCATTCTGTCTTTAGATCTTAAAGTTGTTGATTGATTTTACATGAACTGTACATAGCAGGCGGTAAGTCACCAAAGAAGCTACAGAACATTACAGTTTATATGCATTTTGTATGCATACCAGTAAGTCACGCCCTAGCATCAGCACATCTCATTGGTTAGTACTCTGCTTAATGTCCTTGACACTGATTAAGTTTTATTAAATGCTGTGCTCATGTGATATGATATCTTTGGGAACAGTACAGCTGCACTGTTTCATGGCTACCTGAGCCAAGGTCAGGTAATTTGGCACTTTGGTTTGATGACAGCATCAGTATTTCAGGCTTAAACTTGTGCACTCTTTCCCTGTAGCTTTTTTTAAATGATGGAAACTACCTTTGGTGAGTGTGTGAATGCTCCTTGTGTCTTTTAACACCTGCCCACCAGCTCATATGAACCACTGAATATTTTAACTTCAAATGATATCCACATACAGTAAGTAAATCCAATCTGAAAAATGACTAGAATATGCATATTCAGTTGTCAGCGTGTCTTTATGTGGCTGTGCTCTTGTGTCCCTCTGTCCCAGGTGACTAAAGAAGATGAGTTCTTCAGCCTGTCTCACTGCCAGCTGTTGGAGCTCATCAGTCAGGACAGTCTCAAGGTGCTCTGTGAGTCTGAGGTGAGTAGCTTTAAAAGGACTAATTAAAAAATGACAGACAGCCACGTAAGGAACATTCAGTGAATGTTCTGTCTTTTATGAAGCTCATTTTTTTCCTAATAGTTGTTGAACTGCATCCGTGAAATGCATGCATTATTTGGGTCAAAGCATAAGAACAGTACTGCATATTGTAAGATGTTCTGACTGTGCACACCTGAAGTTTTACCATAAAATGTAGAAGTTGAAGAAACGTAAAAGAACAGTGTGTAAGTGTAGGGGGGGTTTAGTGGCATCTAGTGGTGAGGATTTCACATTGCAACCAGCTGAAACTTCTCCCGGTTAGAATTTCTTCAGTGTTCAGTTTTTTATACCAGGAGCCGAATTATCCACAGAGGCTTTTTCCCTCCCAAACAAACAGACCTGGCGATTTAAACCTGTAAAAACACTCAATAAAGCAGTTTGACGTTACAAATCAGTGTTTCTAGGACGTTGTTCGGCATGTCACAGCACCTGCTAATGTGTGCTCACCTTTTTTCTCTGATAACTTAATATCGATATGTTCAGGAGGTTTTATCAAAGAGCCAAGTTGTCCACAAAAGAAACAAGGTTTCTTACAAAACAGTTCGTAGGATCCATGCTAAAAATGTAGGTGTGTTGGTTGTGGCCGACGTGAAAATGCGAATGGCCCTATCTAGAGCCAGTGTTTGGTCTGTCTGTTCTGGGTACTGAAAACATGGTGCACTCTGTAGATGAGGGCCGACTCCCTATGTAGATATAAACAGCTCGTTCTAAGGTAACAAAAATTGGTGATTATACACTAAAGAAAACATGCTTCTTATATTCCATTTCTGACAGTGCATCCCCCTAATCCTACACACTGGACCTTTGCAGTAACTTTGGTCTGTAAAGTCAGAGTTATGAACTTGTTTGTTGTTTGTTTGTGTTTTATGTCTCACACAACAGTCAGCTCATGCTAAAAAGGTTCGACATACCTTGAGAAATCTGCACAGATGCTGTTGGTTGAAGTTCTGAGGAGTGTTTCTTAATGAACATAGCAAACCACAACTGATATGTCTCAATAAATCCTTGTCAGGTGTATAAGGCCTGCACTGACTGGGTGCGCTGGGATATGGAGGGCAGAGCCCAGTACCTGCAAGCCCTCCTGAATGCGGTTCATATCTACGCCCTGCCTCCTAAGTTCCTAAAGAACCAGCTCCTGTCCTGCCCCATCCTCAGCAAGGTAAACTACAGCCTCAATTTATGTTCTCTTGTTATGGAAATGAGTGGATGGATAAGAATATGCAGGGATTGTCAGTTACTGATCATAAACAGTATCGCTAGTGAAAGTGAAAGCCAACCGCAGATTCACTCTTGTTATGAGACGAGCTTTGTCCACTCCCTGTTTCACTTTACTGTAATATTTGTAGCTTCTTCTTGTATGCTGCTCACGGTCTGTCACTTGGTCGCTACCTTTTTATAAGATCCCAACGTCACCTGCACACTATGCCCAGGAACCTCCCGAACACAGCAGAATAAGAAGAAAATACAGGCAGAGGGCAGATAAATATACCGTCACACACTTCTAATAGGTCACAATTGATGATGAAGAGGGATTACTTGTGTATATTTGAGGCTATACATCAGAAAAATCCTGCATAGCATATCTTTAAATATTGTTCTGTATTAGTATTTATTTCAGAAGTCTTTTTTTTTCTTCATTCACTTACTGTCTCTTTAAATGTTTTATCTTTTGACCATTCTTTTGATTTCAGGCCAACTCCTGTAAGGACTTCCTGTCTAAAATCTTCCAGGATATGACAATAAGGAAGCTGCCTCCTGCACCTAACCGTGGAACTCAACTCATCTATGTGGCTGGCGGGTATTTATCTCCTACAGTTTCCTTGACAGCATTGCTTTGGTTGCACAGATACTCTGAAGGTAGCAACACACACTCTGGGACCTATTTCTGACATTGGCCATCAGAAACTGATTATGAGACAACAGTTTGTGTTAGTGATGTCATTTCTCACACTTTATGAGATATATTAAAGTGAGTGAGCTGTGTTCACAGTATAGAGGTCCATGAAAGTGCCTCATAGATTCAGAAAAAAGTCTGCCACCCAGTGGCTGTTAGGAGGTCATCCACTCTGTGCTGCTTACAGAGGTGCCCTGCTCTCTGAGTTCATGCATGCACGCCACCCTCCTATTTCATAAGCCCTTTGTTTATAGTGGCATACTGTATGTTGACTTATTTTCTTATTTTTTAAAGCACAGGTGAGTTTTTAACCAAGACGGCCAGTCTAAAATTAAAGTTTCACCATGCATTCAGGCCACAGCAAGTGTAATTATTAAGATAGAAAGGTCATCTTGGCCTCAAATTGAAGCTTATGAGCTTGGGAAGTTTTCCATGTACAAGTGAGGAAGTGACATTTAGCATAAAGTGCTGAAAAACATTTTTTTTACGAGAATGTGTCAAGCAGACAGTATTTCAGAATGGCAGCAAGCCCCTTTCACACTGCCAGATTTTCCGTGAATGTTGGGCCGTTTTGCCGGCAAGCTGCAAGCATTTATACACACAGAGCCAGATTGGCGAGTTGATTCGAGGTGCCCAATTTTCCACCTCGAAGGGTAGTCATATTGGCGGAACCTTTTAAGTTTAAAAAGACCGAGGCGGCCTTCCGCAACGGGAGGGGCTGTTGAAGACTTGTGTTGATGACGATGCACGTGCGACCCACTGGCAGTGGATAAACAGGAAACAGCTGATGGCGGGAATTAGCGAGCAGCGAGTAGCAGACACTGTAAAGATGACCAACTGAGGAGACAAAGAATTGCGCGCCCTCCTTGCCCTCGCAAACGAAGAGGCCAGATGACAGGAACGATGAAGAACGACTTACGAGAGAATCACAGGACTGACCAGCTGCAGCTTCCCTCCCACGTTACTGTTTACGTCACACACTGAGTTACACATTTTGTTACTTGCTCACGCCCCTCATTGCCCCGAAAAAGGCGTGTTCTGTATGAACAAAAGTAGGTAAGCGGCATTTTGCTGCACTCCCCGATTTTGTTTTTATACTGGTAATGCTGAAGAAGACTGATTGGGCTTTCCTGCACAATTCCTGTTTTAAAAAGGCTTTATTTTGCTACTTTCCCCAATGTTTCAGGATACTCCATGCCAGATTTCATACTTGTATGACTTTTTATTCAATTGTAGCACCTCGATATTTGTATTTACATAATGCCGCCAGAAACATGTCTGAAAAATCGGGTTTTTGGCCCTGAGTTGGGGATGATCGTATCAACTTGTGATGGCGCAAGTTATAGGTTAACAGAAAATGATAGTGAAGAAAAGGTAGCAGAAAACATGACAGCAGGTTCTGGCTTCAGCCTACATGCACACATGTATCAGCAGAATCTACGCGCTGTTGGAGAACAACTAATCAGAGTGGAGGAGTCTCTAACGCAATCAGTCATGTCGATCACTGCTCGTGAACAGCAGACAAACTGTCTATCATATGAAATAAGATTCTGTAACCGCATTGACAATTTCTCACCTCAGTTTTTTTTCAGAAACATATTTTAGTGTACTGTTTAGCTGTAGAGTGAGAAAGTTTGCTCCAACTGGTGGGAGATGCTTAGTTTTTGCTCCACTGTTTTAAACATGGAGGCTGGGTCGCAAAGAACCACTCTCCCGGGTGAAAGCTGGTGTTTGTTGGACCAATCCACCACCCTGACTTTAATTCTTATCCCACTGAGTTTCCCCCTGACGCTGCAGAGCACAATTAAACTATAATAGCAAACGGCCACGTATCATGCCAACGTTAAAGGACGGCTTTTTTCATCAGTGTCTGACGCTGCAAGTCACTGCCCAAGCGATAGATTTCAACAATTTTGGAATGAGACCGGGCTCGCTGAAACTTCTCCCATGTGCCAAGCATAAATTCCTGTTTAGGAGTCCTTCAGTGTTTAATGTTCGGGAGGTTTTTACCGTGAGTTGAATTATCCACAAAGGTCTCTTCCTCTCCAAAACAAACGGACCAAGTGATTTAAACTGGTAAAGACACTGAATAAAAAATCAGTGTTTTTCCAATGCTGCTCATCACTGAGGGGCTTCTAACTACGTGTAAACACAAATGGCCTTATCCAGAGCCAGTGTTTGGTTTGTCCATTCTTGGCTACTGTAGAAACATCAGGGTTCAACATAGCAGACTCTGTAGATGAGAACCTGCTCCCTTTGTAGATATAAACGGCTCATTCTATGGTAACGAAACATAAGGATTCTTATTTTCAGGTGGTTATACACTAAAGAAAACAACTTATTGTATTGTATATCATTTCCGTCAATATATCTCCCTAAATCCTACACACTGGACCTTTAAGTCATCGGCCTTGGTCATGTACTTCTTAAAGAATGCATCAATAATCGAGTATGCATATAGAGTGACTGTACCATTTTCTCATCTCTGTCCAGATACCGGCAGCATTCACTGGCAACCATGGAGGCTTATGATCCCAGAAGGAATGTGTGGCTAAAACTGACTGACATGGGGTCTGCGTGCAGTGGCCTGGGAGCCTGTACGCTGTTTGGACTGCTCTACACTGTAGGTTGCACCAGTTGTGTCATACCACCAATGAAATGAGAGTTTTAATTTCTGAGTAAAGACATAATTATATGTTATGATACGAGGAATACAAAACTGGGAAGCTAAAAACTGTAAGCTAACACGGGTGTGGTGTCACTGTACTGGCACATTTCTGCATAAATATAATGTCTAATCCTGTAATTATTTTACCCACTTTCCTCTTCTCGCTTTTCTTCTTCCACCTGTCAGTCCTGAGTGGACTCATGTTTGTTCTGACAAGTTTAAGAGATCAACGTAATCTCTGTTCAGGTCGGAGGCAGGAACCTGTCGCTCCAAAACAACACCGAGTCCAACGCCCTGTGCTGCTACAACCCGATGACCAACCAGTGGAGCCAGCGAGCCTCCCTCAACATCCCCAGGAACAGGGTCGGCGTGGGCGTAGTGGACGGCTGCATCTACGCCATCGGGGGCTCCCAGGGCTCCACGCATCACAACACGGTGGAGAGGTGAGAAGTGTGCAAGGATTTATTTATTTAACTAGGCACTTGAGAGGTAATTTGATTTTAATGACATCTTATTTATGGGGATGAATGTAATGAGCGTGGATTTCCTCCCCCACTATGCACACATTCCTAGATTAAGTGCATTTACCTCAGTGTAAGTATGGATAATGGCACCAGAGAGGGATGAAATGAATAGCTGCCATTCAACCTAAAGAGCAGTCAAGAAGTTCGCAGGTATTCCTCTTAGCCTAATTAGACAACAACACGGGCTCTTTCAAAAACATGTCGAGACACACTTCCCAGGAATGTCGATCTGGTCGGGAATGCTTCACATCTTTGTTGCTGCCACCGCCAAGCAGGGAGGAGTTGTTCATGCTGTTATAAATCACTTTCAGTCAATTAATAACAGAGCCACATGAAAGTTTCTTTTGATACTATTAGCTGTTTTTGAAAAAGTGCTTCAGACGTAACCTCCTTTTTATATTGAAGGGTATAGATTTCTAAAAGATGGCGGTCACAAGAGAATTATAAGAACTCATCAGACGCTACTTGGAAGTGTCTTCATGAGAAGCTGCTAAATATAATGAAAGCTGATAAAACTATTGAAATGAAAATTCAATGTGAAACGCATCAAAGGAGATTAGAGCATTTATAGTAACAATGGTTGGCACAAAAAAAAAAAAAAAAAAAGGCTTTGCGCTTAAGGATGTCTCCCAAATGAATCCAAGCAACATGTAAGACATTCAACAGGGAGTTATACTTCTTTGAATGTGCCTCGCTGTGTGTTGTGATTTTAGGGGTCAGAGCACGGGGTCAGTGTCTCAAGAAGGGACTTGCATTTAGTGATTTTCTCAAAGGCACTTTGCCAGGTCATGTAATGTCAGTCACCCTATCAGCAGTTCACAGGTAGAATACACCCAGTGCTGAGAACTGATTTAATCATTAACCATTGAAAACATGTAGTCCGACCTGCCTCATCATGACTCAGTACTTTGTAAAATGCAAATAATACGAAGATTCACAACAAGAAAGTTTTTATCATTCTATCATTATCTGTTGTTATTCCAGTATTAAAGGAGCAGTTCAGCATTTTAGGAAATGCTTGCTTTCTTGCCAAGATGAGAGGACGAATACCACTGTCACATCTGCCCATTAAATATGGAGCCACAGCTTGGAGGAGGCAAGTGCTTTTGTCTTAAGCATAAAGACAAAAGCGCTTTTTTTCTGTTTCCACTGTGAAAAGTTGTGGATGGTACCAATGGAACTGTTCCTTCCCGTCCCCATTTTCGGTCCCCCCTCTGTTGGGGTACCTAGCACACAGATCTGGTACTAAAAGGTGGAGCTGTGAGCACTGCAGTCTGTTGATTGGTCAATAGAGGACGGTCACTCTGCTCAGGGCTGACTTGTGGCTGGTTTTGAGGCTCATGTAACCACTGTTCATACAGTGGAGTTTTATTAGTAAACTATAACTGTAAAATAAGCAGCTGGAGTCGGGGAAAAAAACAACTTAATTCACTGGGCTGATTGCCAGCGACTTTTAAGGTGGAATGTTAACTTGTAATGTTGCTCAATGCATGAGTTGATGACGTGAATCAATCAGCACTCTATATGACAACTGTGACCATCACTTTAGTTTTTATATGACTATATGAAGTGTCGTGGAGCATTGTTCCTGTGGGCAACTCTAAACCCCTGAGCTTGTCTGAGAAGGACTAAATACACAAACCTGCTATTTTTAAATATCCCATGGAGAGAGACACTCACTGCAGCCTGTTTTATTTTGTCCTGAAAATGTCAACGTGCAGCCTCGTTCTGTGAACGATAAACAAGGTGCAGACTTCCCTCTGCGTCAACATTATTTGAGGAAATACAGTGAGTGCTAACAACCCCGCCCACATTTAAGACTGGAAATGTTAGGGTCTAGGTACCATGTCTGAAGGGTTACTTTTGGTTCCAAAGGTACCATACCGAAAGAGTTTGGTGGAAACGGGGCCTTAGTGGTGCACAAAGCCAAAATGGTTCAACTGCTGTGTATAAAATTACCCGGGAATTATTGGCACTACTTAGCCACCGTGCACTAGAACCCAAACAGGCCCCATAAGAACTTTATTGTTCTCCAGAGTGGGACCTTTTGTCTTGAACTTTTCACCCCCATGCTGCAGCCACACAGAAACATTCCACAGACAGAAACGTGCATATAAACTGTATATAAACTGCATACTGCATATAAACTGTATATACCTTTGGACAGAGCCAAGCTAGCTGTTTCCCCCTCCATTCCGTCTTTATGCTAAGCTAAGCTAACCGTCTCCTGACTCTATTCAGTTAACAGAAGTGAGTGTGGTATCAATCTTCTCATCTAACTCTCAGCAAATGGAAAAGCCTACTTTAAAAAAAGGGCAGGCTATTCCTTTAAAAGAATATGTTAAATAAGTCATTTATCTTACTGTATGAGATGAGATCAGTTTGACCTTTATTCAAAGACACCATGGACAAAGAGTTAAAATTTAACAGTCTGTTCAGAGACGTCTGTTGGACTCCCCGATCATGTAGACTTTCTTGTCTCTGTCTGCTCTCAGCGGTGTTACAAACTCTTTGGCTTCAAATAAAGCTTGTCAATAGTTGCCAAACATGGTTGCCAGCTTAACCTAATCCACTTAAAGGTGACTGGCTCGTGTAGATTGAGAAGGCCGCTTCACACAGCCGCTGCCCCGTGGATCATCTCACGTTCTGCAGCACCGATAGATACACTGATGTGATTATTTTAATTGACTGATATGTACCGACATTAGGAACTGTCAACAGATTATCACACTGACTACACGCACGGCACATCCTCTGTGTGGTTTACAGGTGGGATCCCGAGTCTAATCGCTGGTCCTTTGTTTGCCCGATGTCGGTGGCTCGTCTGGGTGCCGGAGTGGCGGCGTGTGGGGGGGTTCTGTATGTGGTCGGGGGATACGATGGGCAGAGCCGCTGGAACACTGCTGAGAAATACCAGCCGGACACGAACACCTGGAACCAGCTGGCACCTATGAACACTATACGCAGCGGACTGGGTGAGTGTGTCTGTACTCCTGTCTTCATGAGAGCCAATCTGATTAAGTAAATAAGATGTTATGTATTGATTAATGAGCTTTAGATGTGCTCGTAGGCAGATTATTTGGGAACTGCCCATTGGTTCAACAGCCCATTGGTCCGACATCACATTGTTCTGACCATATTAAACTCATTGTTCCGAAGTCCGTTCCGAAATCATCATGATGCCCTGTGGTTAAGGTCTGGTTAGGTTTAGGCACAAAAACCATTTGGTTAGGGTTAGGAAAAGATCATGGTGTGGGTTAAAATGAAAAAGAAAGTGATAAACACATAAGCCGTGAGCCTGCTCCGCACCATACGCCCGCCGCGAGCCGTTCAGCACCGCGGACAGTCGGACTAATGGGATGTCGAACCAATGGGCTGTCGAACCAATGACATGGACCCGATTATGTCACCTTCAGATGGAGCAATGCTAGCTGTTTCCCCCTAACTTCAGGCTTTATGCTAAGCTAAGCTAACATCTCCTGACTGTAGCTTCATATTTGTGGTGTGGTGTCAGTCTTGTCATCTGACTTTCAGCAAGGCTAATCTTAATTATTAAAGTATTAAGTTTGTATGCTAAGCTAAGCTAACGGACTGCTGGTTTTAGCTGCGTATTTACCAAACAAAGCTGTACCAATCTTCTCATCTAACTCTCAGCAAGAAAGCCAAGAAGCCATTTTGTCACCATTATGTCAAAATGTTCCTTTAAGTTCCCTCTCTGTGTGTCTTTGCAGGATTGGTGTGTGTGAACTCTCACTTGTACGCCATAGGAGGCTACGATGGGCGGAACCAGCTGTGTTCGGTGGAGCGTTACAATATAGCCAGGAACCAATGGGAGCCCAGGGCCTCCATGCAGTACTGCCGCAGCGCACACGGAGTCACGGTCCACCAGGGGCGCATCTTTGTCCTCGGTCAGTTGTATCACTGCTCAAAAAATAACAAATTGAAAATTCAAACAGTGTTAGTGATTACACACTCACAAAAATATTTGATCAATGATTACCTGTGTTGGCTGGTATTGTTTTAACCTCATGAGTCTGTGTGTGTGTGTGTCGTCATGGCGAAATGTGGTCCAGGTGACATAATTGTAGCGGTAACTACCACAGAAGCCATTTTGAGTACTTTGCCAGGTGCTTATATGTCTGTCTGTCTGTGGGCAGATTTTTTCACTGCAGTTACATCGCAACTGTGCAACATGCAGTCACGAAATTTTACAGGTGTGTAGTTGAGACCAAAATGAAGGCCAGTTTAAAGATGGCCGTGGTCCAAGCAAGGGAGCTGGATGTAGGGACGTAGGAAGTAGGGAAGGGGCCACTGGCTGCACGCCTTATACCCCTGGCTAACGACAGGTGTGTTGCTGAAAACACACTGGCGGCTGAGTTCGAAGATGGGTGTGGTGCAAGCAAGGGCGCAGGGGAGGGACCATTGGCCCAACCACTTTACGCCTTTGTTGGACATTTGCTTTAGATTGCCGATTGCTGCATCTTGGCTGGAGTGATTCTATCGCTAGATGGTCTTTTTTTTATGTATGTTTAAGTGTTTTTATTTATTTTATATTTTTCATTATTGGCTTTTTCTGTTTTTTTCCTTTTTCTTAGATTTTTTTTTTTAAAAATTTATATTTTTTTTTAATTCTTTAAACTTTTTTTCGTAGTTATATTTTATTGTATGTTCCACCCGTGTATTTTAGTTTACAGTTTTTATTGATGCTTGTATTGATGACTGTTGCTTGCTTGAAGTCAAGCCTGTCTTGTGTGCCATCACTAATAAGTACATTTTCAGTTTCATGTATCTAAGCCTGTTGTACCGTCTTATTTTTGTGGGCTGAGTGTGCAGCCACTTCCACAAACACTTATGTTTGAGTCTTATGAGTTAAAAGAAGTTTCAGTTAGTCGTCATCGTAGAGTAGAAAAACCTTTCATATCTGTGGTATTATTATGTCTGGTTACGAGACTTGCAGTTGTGACGCCGCCGAGCCCAGGAAGAAATGTTCTTTTAGACAACATTCATGCAGGTAGAGGCAATAATAGTACAGACCTGCGAAGTGATTAGATAATTCTGATTAACTGGTCGACAGGAGGTCAGGAGGCTCAGTGTGGCTCAGTGACTCAGTGTTGTTAATTAGAGTAAAGCATGGTTCAAATGTGAAGAGTAAACAGACGAGCAGCAGCAAATGAGATGTCACATCAGGAAGAAATAAATCGCGTTAGTGAATAAAATCAATTGAAAATCATAATGTAATAATCTCCATTTTTAAAAAACAATTCCACTAATCCATTTATTAATTGACAGATACATAACTTAAAGACAGAATCATTTAACAGTTCACTAACTGGTGTATTAACAACCTTATTAAATGAGTGTGTGTGTGTGTGTGTGTGTGTGTGTGTGTGTGTGTCCATCCAGGAGGCTTTAACCAGCACGGCTTCCTGTCCAGTGTCGAGTTTTACTGTCCAGACAGAAACGAATGGACGTGCGTCACCGACATGCCCGTTGGACGCAGCGGCATGGGCGTCGCTGTTACCATGGAGCCCTGTCCCGGCAGCCTGCCTGAACAAGAGGAGGATGAGGAAGGAGCCACATGAGGAGGAGGAGGATAAAATCGGTGTGGTTATGGTTCTACGTGGTGCTGCTTTTCAAGAGAGGGGTGAAGTGCATTCAATAAAGTAAACATTCCAATTTACGTCCCCGCTCTCGTGGATCTGGTTGGTGTCGCCCCGCGGAGAACTGCAGGTAAAGTTTGTGTGGAAACACTGAAGGAGAAGATTTCTACATCAGCTCCGGGGACACGTGATACAGAAAACAACAAGGTGCTACAGAAGTAATCCCAAATAATGGTACTATTTAATTACTGTTGTTCCTCAGAAGTTTATAATCTCTAAGTGTTATTTTTGTAAATTTAATGAATGAATGGCCTTCAGCATCCTGATTTCTAATTCCTCTGTGTTGTATCTCTACCTCTATCTGTGTCTCTGTCCAAATGAGCACTTTTCTGTTTGTGCCAATATAGTTTCACCCAGAACTGCCAATTTTTTATTTTATTTTATTGATTTTTGTGTGTGTGTGTGTGTGTGTGTGTGTGTGTGTACTCACCATAACTTGTGTTTCAGGAAATAAAGTTAATCAAGTGTATATCTGCCCCGTATGTTCATCATTTTATCTTTACTGACCTCTTGTGATTTCATTTATCAAAGGGCTGGAACAGTGACACTTAAGGCTTGTTTGGGGGGTCGTTGGGGGTTGGCTGCAGTCGGCAAGATGTCACCACTACCCGTTTGAGGGCAGGCAACTGGCTTTTGGACCTACTCCTGAGAAGGTCCATCTCCACGAAAATACAATAAAAAGATACATAACAGCCAAAAAATAAAGAAAATGACCTCAAAAAAACAACAACACACAAAGTGGGTACAAAGAGACACAAAAAGACACATCAAGGCCAAAAAAGACACAAAATTTCCTTTAAAAAAAACAAAAACAAAACGGGTACAAAGAAACACACAAAATAACTACAAAACGGGGCAAATCAAACACAAAGAGACACGAAAATACAATAAAAAGATACATAACGGCCAAAAAATAAAGAAAATGACCTAAAAAAAAACAAAAACACAAAGTGGGTACAAAGAGACACAAAATGACTGTAAAAAGATACAAAATGACCAAAAAAGACCCAAAATTCCCCCAAAAAAACGCACAAAACGGGTACAAAGAAACACACAAAATAACTACAAAACGGGGCAATACAAACACTAAGAGACAAAGAATGTCTATATTGAGATACAAAATGACCAAAAAAAGACAGAAAATTACCTAAAATAGGCTCAAAATAAGCAGACAAACAAACACAGAGAGACACAAAATGACTAAAAAGACACAAAACTACCAAAAAAATTACAAAAAAAGCACAAAATAACAAAGAAAGTCAAAACAGGTACAAAGAGACACAAAATAACTACAAAAGGGGCAAAACAACAACAAAATGACACAAAACAACTATGAAGAGACACAAGAGTGACTACATGTAAGAGAGGTGGTGGGGCCCTTTAAATGTCTGTGCCCAGGGGCCCACTGTCTCATTATCCGCCCATGGGCTGATGCCACCTGTAAGAACTGTATTCCCTTAATCATTTAATTTTATTTTGATATTTTTTGTATTTTGATGTGTTTTTTAGTGAAAATCTTTTTATGCTTGTTTGTTTTACACTCTTTTTTTCACTCTTTTTTCAATTGAATTTAATTCAATTGAACTTTATTTATCTCTAAGGAAATTCTTGTGCCATCGAACGCTTCAAATTACAGTACGACTAAGTACAGTAACCACAATTTAGCGTTCACAACCAGTAACAACCAGACAACAGTGGGTTCCCGGGGTCTGGGTCACTGAGTGGGCCCAGTTTTAGAACAATAGAGTATTAAATATCTGGCAAACTATACAAATATACAAGTTAGGATGTGTTCTCAAGGAGCAGAAGCAAAAACCAGTGCCTCATAGAGTAACAATACGAGTATGATAAGTACAAGAGTTACTAAAAATGAACTAAAATATAACAACAAGAATGCAAGTAAGTATTGTGACTGAGAAAATGATACTGCACTACAATATTGCATAATATTGCACATGCCCCTTGGTTTCAACTCCTGTCACAGTTTTGGTGTAGAGAGAAAGGGTTTGAGGGGAGTTGCAAGGACAGCGTGATTTACATATCCAAGGAGAGCATTTCTTTTCTGGACTCACATTCTTTCAAGAGTGACGTGAAGGACAAAAATCAGAACACATCAGAATACAAAAAAAAAAATCAAAATGAAATCATTTTTAATATTTTTCTCTGTTGAACTTTGTCAGCACTAACGTTTCCTTTTTCAATGCCATATTTTCCTTTTCCATGCCAAAACTTCCTCCCACTGTTCCAGCTCCATCACTTATTAGGCTGCATCCACACCAGTGTGCAGCCCCAGTATGTACCAGCACATGCTTTACCACTAGATGGTGGGATAAGTCCAAAAACAGCTGCACGCAGCAACATCAGAATGTTTCTGTTTTTCGTTTTGCAGTGTTAAAGCACCATAAAAGAACTTAAAAATGACAAAGCAACAGAATAAAGGCTCTAAATCTGCTCACATCATGATAGCTACTACAATAATATGAGCAGGGACTGTGCACACACTACCAACAGTCCTGTTTAGATAAAAACTGTTTTACAGCTCAGAGAGAATAATTAGAGCCATAGTGAGCAGAGCAGCCTTTATTCCAGCAGTTGTGAGGAGAGAAAGAGAGTAGTGGAGTCACTACTGTGTTAGTCATCAACCGCAGACGTCACTTGTGTGTGTTTACTTATCTCTCTGTGCACTGCTGCTCTCCATCTCCTCCATGGCTCACCTGCAATTATCCCAGCAGGCCACCAAAGAAGACAGTTCTGGACAGAACAATTATTCAAATGCGTGTTGAGATTTCTGACAGAGAGGAGGGAAAAAAATGTATGTTTTATGTGGAATAATAGAAAGGCAGGTGATTGTGCTCTCGTGTTTGTCTCCATTTGAATGCATCTCAGATTTCAGAACTAGTACACACCCAGTGCTTTGTGAGCGTCCATTATTGACAGAGCAACCTGTTGGGCGATGAGCAGAGATGAAGTAGAGGCAGAGGAGGAAGCGGCGGAGCTCTGGTTGTGTGTTTCGGGGCCCCGGAGAGCGGAGACGGACGAGGGAGTAGAGGGCTCTTACTCACTACTTAAAGCCCCACACAAGAGCAAGTGACTCACATGGCGAACGCATGACGCAGGCATCTCACACACAACACACACACAATCGTACATGGATACACAAACGCGTCCGTACGCAAACACATTTGCTCTTTATCTGCCACACACGCATATGTGTGTGTGCAAAACAAAGCTGGCTGTCTCTCATTCGCAGGCTGTGGAAACAGATTTGCCTGAATGCTTTCATTGTCTCATGAGGGGAGAGGAATACAGAAAGAGATGAAGCACTGTACAGCGGGGAGGTTCGCCTTCTATGGAGAATCAGCGGAGGAAAATTAGTACACATACAGATGTAGCTGTTGTACAAGTCCGTCTTCTGCATGCTCGCTGCGCTAATGCTGAACAGTTGCACAACCCCAAGAGGACCTGATGGAGGAGAGAATCTTCCTCTGATAGAGCAGCAGAGATGGAGAAACTGAGAGAGGCTGAAGGATGGATGGTTTACTGAACGGGCCTGTCGGGCACAGGCCGCGGGGCCCAAAGTGTTAGGGGCCCTCGCTGGCCTTCACCTGCAAAATGTAACTCAAATTGACACGTGAACGGAAACGGCACAAAATGACCTTAAAGAAACACAAAATAACTACAAAGGGGACAAACAAACAAAAAAGAGACACAAAATGACCTCAAAGAAACATGAAACGGGTACAAAAAGGGGCAAAACATCCAAAAAGAGACACAAAATTACCAAAAAATCACAAAATGATCTCGGAGAGATACAAAACAGGTACAAGGAAACAAAGAAACACAAAGTGACACTATATTACAGTACAGAGATACATAATGGCCAAAAAAGACACAAAATGATCTAAAAAAGGCACAAAATGACCTCAAAGAAACACAAAACCGGTACAAAGAGACACAAAATAACTACAAAAGAGGCAAAACAAACACAGACAAAATGACTGTAAAGAGAGAAAAACGACCAGCACAAAGCACAAAATGACAAAGTAACACGAAACAGGTACAAAGAAACAAAATAACTGTAAAGAGATACTAAATGACCAAAAAAGACACAAAATTAGCTTAAAAAAAAAAGGCACAAAAGAACAAGGAAACACAAAGAGACACAAAATTACCGTGAAGAGATACAAAACGGCCAAAAAAAAGGCACAAAATGACCTCAAAGAAACATAAAACCAGTACAAAGAGGCAAAAAATAACTACAAAAGGGGCAAAACAAACACAAACAGACACCAAATGACTGTAAAGAGATAAAAACTACCATAAAAGACCAGAAATTTCCTTAAAAAAAAAAAAAAAAAAAACAGGACAAAATAACACAAAACGGGTACAAAGAGACACAAAATGACTGTAAAGAGATACTAAATGACCAAAAAAGACACAAAATTACCTAAAAAAATGCACAAAATGACAACGAAACACAAAGAGACACGAAATTACCATAGAGAGATACAAAATGGCTAAAAAAGACACAAAATGTCCTCAAAGAAACACAAAAAAGGTACAAAGAGGCGCAAAATAACTACAAAAGGGGCAAAACAAACACAAAGAGATACGAAATTACCCAAAAAGACACAAAATTACCTAAAATAAAGCACAAAATCACAAAGAAACATGAAACAGGTACAAAGAGACACAAAATAACTACAAAAGGGGCAAAAGAAACAGAGACATAAAATGACTGTAAAGAGATACTAAATGACCAAAAAAAACATTCCCTAAAAAGGCACAAAACGACAGTGAAACACAAAACAAACACAAAGAGACACAAAACACAAAAAAACCCCAACAAAATTACTCAAACAAACCTGACTTAAAAAAAAAAATACAAAATGGGTACAAAAAGGGACACAGAATGACTACATGTAGAGGAGGTGGTGGGGCCCTTCACATGTCTGTGCCCAGGGGCCCACTGTCTCATAATTCACCCATGGGCTGATGCCATCTATAAGAACTGTAATCCCTGTTTGTGTTCAATTCTTTATGTTTTCTATGTGAACAATGTCTTAACTTTGGTGCACAGTGTTGCAAAGTTACACTAGCAGACGGGCAGAGGGAAAGATTTAAGCCTGAGACCTTCAGCATAACAGGAACTTAGCTTTTTCTTTCATACTTTACTTCTTGGATGTCACATTGAAATATATGACCACAGGAAGTGATAGAATCTAAAAGAGCTGATCTGATCTTCACTTGTTGCAACATAGAGCTTGAAACTATGCAGCATGCTGAAATGTGCATGTCAGGATTAAAAAGAAAAAGCGGTGATGGGTGAAAATGAACCAACAATTCTTTTTGAGTGACACAAACACAAAAAGTGTCCGGTATGTACCGGGTCAGCCTGTCGAACATCTCATGAATCGTTAACACAGTGCAGCAACACGACTGAATAAACAAACCAGGATCGATTAAATC